GTACGTGCGTAATATTCAAATGGCTTATGCGTGTGAAATTAATCAAGTAACCTTTGTCCGTTCGAAACCCGCACGCGAAGATAATTCTGATAATTAAACGTTTACTGAATGAAAATTGATACCTACTCCATCGTTTATGTACTTCGCTTTCCTTAAGCAAACATATTGCGTTCTCCCTTCAAACCGAGTAGGTATTTATGTAACAAAAGAACTGCTCCAAGTGCTTATTTTTAGATTGAAACTGATTTCCACATAGAGCAAACTATGCACTGCTCTGGTTCGGGCGGTCGATTCGTCTGTTTAGGCCCAAACCAATATGTTTATTTGATCGTTTCCGATAGCGCGTGGCCTTCAATCGAATTGTTCGATCCCATCTCGGAAGGAAAGGGATTCTGCTGACGATGCGAGTTTACATAGGGAAAATGGCTCCCAGAAGAAAAACAGACCCACATTTGGATGCGGCTCAGTTAGATTTCACGTCTCAAAACGCACTCATCGCATAGTAAGCCATGGCTCACTAAACAACACAGTTTACTACGATTGTCGTAGTTCCCGGGAAAAATAACATTAATCTGGCTGTTCGGCATCTTGGTCCGTCTTTCGGATGCTGTTTCGCTGATTGCGGTTTGCTTCTTTGGTCCGCATTTTCGGTGTCACTGAGCTTGAAATAATTTATGTAAATTTTGTAAAAGCTAGACATTCTACACGTCCATGAAACTCATCATGAGCATAAAACATTTGCTGGTTTTCCCTAACCGCTTGCGGGCTTTGTAATTCCAATCCTGGCATGGCAAAAGAAGATGCTCTTGAAGATGGTAAAAGTTGAGTAACGCACAGTGAAGAGTGTTTTGCTCGCATAAGAAGTAGGTACCTAGGTATCCTTAATGGAGGTGGAGAAATATGCGAAGCCACACGCGCAAAAAAGCCCACGACATCGTCCCGCTCCAGAGCTATAAGCTTTGCTTGATGCTTACCTTGACGACGATGATGATGGTGATGGCGGTCGGTGGCTGCTTGGCATGTGGCACTGTGGGTTCGTGTGGTTTGATTGATGGGAATCGTTTCGCATCAGGCTCGGGAAGGTTGTAATTAGGTAAATTAAACGTACGGAGCGGTTTTGGGGATATGTCTCCATATCTGTTGTTGTGCGTGTTCTTCATGACAATAATGGCTTATTCGGGATAATCAGAGACGTGCCATTTTCCTAATGAAATTTTCCTATTAGTAGGCTAAGGATGTGAGACATTATTGGATGATCAAGTTGGAGGGGCGAGAGAGAAATTGGTTGCTTTGATTGGTCTCAGGTTGACGTTTATACTGATTAGTTAGAGCAGTTGAATGCTCGACCTAAGCAGGCATTATTTGCAAATTGAACAGCCAAATGCTGTGCTGCATGGACTATCATATCGATGATGATTTTGATTTATGATGTACAAGGGACACAGTGCTGATGAACTTCACTTCATCAAGGCGATAATGACAGAACAGCTTTTGTCAGCATCGCGAGAGGAATATATGGATGCCATGACGTTCGTCAGTAACAATGCAGTTAGTGCCGTTATTGTACGTTTTATTGGTAATTAATCTAGGTTGATCCACATATTAGACTAGATAATGATTATATGATGTTAATAATGCTAAAATTTGCAATGATAGAAAATAAAATCCATGAGAAATTGACAAAGGATTGTGGATAAGTAAAAAGCTGCAGTGAGAATGTCCCTAATTTTAATGAATAGAAGTTTGTTTGCCATATGCCAATAGACTAAACGCGATTAGGCCGAACGCTATTACGATGAATGTGAGAAGCCCAAATAAGATATTCATCCGGAAATCAAACTGCATAAGTATTTTTCAGATCTGCATATAGCGATCACTAAATCCCGATTAGCGAATTACCGGTGTGTCTGTGCTTCCCGGAATTTTGGAAATCGTTCCGGCTGTGCGATATGCATTTAAATTAATTATACAACCAAATGCGTTTGAGTCGAAAGAATCACTAGGTTAAATGAGTCAATACAAAGGCAACAATATTTGTCGATGCATTTACAGTCTTAAACATTCGTATAGAACTCCTTACAGAATTTCGTTGGAGGGCCTCATGAACTTTCTTTAAAATCATTTTCCTTCACAGAACTCTTTTCAAAATTCATCTAACCTAAATATGAGAATCTTTCTGGGATTCCCTTGTAATTTTCAATATAACATTTTATATAACATATCGTAATTAGGTAACACCGATAAAATAAAAATGATGAATCTTCAGTTATACGCATGGTAATAATAAAAACTAATTTCTTGTTGCCTTTGTACAAGCCAAAAATCATGCTGAAAACACGAAATTTGTGACAGTGGAATTAAAACAGACCGTTCACAGTCAGAGCCTACTGAGCTTTTTTCGATGTTTTTTTTAGAAATTCTCTGGACCTTCTGAACTTTTTTCAAAACTTTTCCAATACAATTCCGCAACATTCTACACAGCTTTTCTTAAGTGTTATTTTAAGTTCCCTTGGACATGATATCGGCAATTTTTGAAAATGCCCTTCATAATTTGTATGAATTTTTAAATTTTGTTCAAATTACCAAAGGCTTAAAATTACAAAAAGTGAAGTTATATTTTTACCTTGAAGCCGTCAAAGTTTTAAGACTACAAAAGCTAAGCCAGGTTTTTACCTGGGTACCAACAAAGATGAAAGTCTCTGATCACGCCTTCCTTCGGATGGGAAGTAAAGCCGTTGGTCCCAGGTTCATGAGTTGATGGGTCGATAGGTAGGGTCCAGGTGTGTGAGCTGCCTTCCTGGCACGTCGATAGCATTGAAAACAAGATCGACGGAAAAAAACAAACCAAAGGAAAAAAAAAAAAACAAAACAAAGATGAAAGCAAAGTCATATTTTCATCCGGAATCCGGCAAAGATTTATGATTACAATAAGCGAAGTCATATTTTCAACGGGAAATTCACATGAAATAACCCAAAATTTGTTCACAAAATGCGTTAGGAATGCTCTCAGAGATTTTCTTCAAATGCTTATTGAAAAATCCTTAAACAAAATTGGGATATTCAATTTTCCTGCAATCATTTTCATTTAATTTACCATCCTTGGAATTCTGTTATGTTAGAATTCTTCTTGAAACACTTTGGAATAATCTTTATGATTATATTAGATTTTGTTCCTTCATTGTGATTTTATTCAACAACATGACAAGACGTTATTGTGTACTTTTGCTTACTTTTACTAATATTCTATTGCTACTACTTCCAAGGAAAAGGATATTGATACAGAAAAGCAATGTACGGATTGTGTTGTGCATCGCAAAAAAAAAGGAATTATCTTCAGATTGCAGTAGAAATTATTGTGATAATTCATTTGGGTTCTCATAGATTTCTCTTCAGAACTATCTTGCAATTATCTTTAGCAGTTCTGTTCGAAATTCTCGCAGAATTTTTCAACCTTTTGAACGCTCCCTTGGAACTGCTTTTTAGCTCTCCTCAAAAAAATTTTGTTAGTCTTCCCGGAATTCTTAAGAAAATTATTCGAAAAATTTCAAATTCTAAAAAAAAAAAAATTAAAATACTTAAAGCCAATGTTGTTAAAATTCTATAAGTTTCTGCAAACAAAGAGTTAATTTGGTCACACACATATCTCAGCATTAAGTGTGTCTAAATCTTGGGGGATCAAATCTACCCTACCTGAATTTTCAACTTCAAATCAGCACAAATTCAAAAACAATGATAGATTCTACTTATTCAAAGCTTTGTGCTGTGAACATTTTGGGTGCATTTGTTGAATGCATAATGCATGATAGTTATATACTACCCTTGTAGCACGGACACTAAGTCTGATAGCAGTGGGCTCTCTTCTCTGTTTGTTTAAATCAAGCTTAATAACTTCTGATTGTTCTCAACATGTCGCTGTATGAAGGGCCAAAAACGAATTGGGTGAATCGATAGGCAAAGTCGCCTATACGCATGTACGGAACAGTAAAGAGTCTGCTTCCAGCAATATGATCACACAATTTTTTTTTTTTTTTTTTAGGTCTTTATTAAGGAGATTTTTAGCCTATGGCTAGTTCATCTCCGAAGAAAGGAGAGGGCTCAGAGTGAGTAACCTCTAGATACATGGTATATTTACATTTAGTTAATAACTTTGGTTGCTGGCTCTTCAACTTATATGAAAAAAATAACAATATATAAAATAATGAAAAGAACAACAGAAAACAAAATGATTTAAGACAAGCTACGAACGATTAATCCAAACAAAACAGAGCTCAGCTGGCATGTCCAATAGGTCCAATAGGGGAAATCCATCCAGCTGAGATGTCCCGACGGCCGAAAGAAATTCCTGCTATACCGAGTGGTAGATTTTGGCTTCTTTTAAGAAGGTTACTAGTGCTGCCGAGGCCGAAGTATCATTCCCGAGCAGATCGCTGATGCTGGAAGTTAGGCAGAGTGACTCCCGAAGATTTTGGAATTCCGGGCAGTTGCACAGGATGTGTTCGACGGTGTAGGGTACCCCACAGATGATGCAGCTTCTGCGGAACGGCAGGTCACCATAGTTATAGTAGAGTTTAGTGTGCCCGGTTCGAAGCCGCGAAATCACGCGTTGATCCCTCAGGTTGTCCAGTTCTCTCCATGGTTCAGTTGACCCTTTTACTTTGCGGATGAAGGCAGTTATGTTGCGGAACCACTCAGCTTCCCATGCCGCTCGAATGGTCCGCATGATCCACCGTCTGACGTCCTGTAGGGGTACCTTGTTGGTGAGTCTCGGACCCGATGTCCCGGCTCCGGCAAGGTGATCAGCAGACTCGTTACCTGGCACTCCGCAGTGTCCGGGAATCCATGTGTACACGGTGTTCGGTGGAGCGTACTTGATAATCGCCTGGATCCATGGGTGTTTTGGTGCTTCCGAGGTGTGTGAGTCAGTTAATATAAGTATCGGTTTGTTGGCTGGCGTCGTAGCGGCACGGAAGATCGCTGCAGCCTCGGCCGAGAAAACCGAGCATTGTGGAGGAAGACTGCTGCTTTCAGCAATACCGTCTCCAAAAATCCCGATACCTACTCCGTTTATCCATCGGGAGCCGTCGGTGTACCGATGTACGTGGTCGGCATAGTTGGACCCAAGTAACTCGGCGACCGATCTGCGCAAAATGATGGATGCATCCCCTGCTTTGAAGCGGTTCTTGATCCGATTGTCCAATTGGATTCGTGAAGAGTGCCAACTTTTCTCTCCATGCCAATGGACTTTGGCCACTGGGGGGAGGTCGATGTTGGCGGCCGTGCGGAGGACTCTGTTCCCCTCGTCGAGGAGAAAGATCCTATTGTTTCCGGAGGTCTTGGCGGAAAAGGCGGCGGCTTTTGTGGCAATATTTGCGTTTAAGCAGAACCGGAAAGGAAGAAGACCCGCTTCGATGCATGCGGCGTCTGCTGGAGTGGATGGCAGGAGACCAGATATGATGCGGATGTAGCTGTTGTAGACTGGTGCTAGGGTTCTAATCAGCTTCTCGGAAGCGATGCAAGTAATTTCCGTCCCGTAAAGCAACCTACTGTCGATGATGGCTCGCGCCACCCGGAACCGAACATCGCGGTTGTTGGATCGGTGAGGCCGAGAGATCGTTTTAACGAGGTTCAGTCTACTGCGACAGTCCTTTTTGACCTGTTGGAAATGCTGGTCGAAGGAGAGCGTTCGGTCGATCAGTACGCCGAGGACGCGAACTGTTTTCCTGTTTGGAATGGCTTGCTCGTGGATCGTAATTGGGGTGCTATTGACTCGGTGCTGAGACGGACATACGTGGTATCGGATGCTCTTCCTGGCGGATAGCTGGAAACCCATCGAGTCGGTCCATTTGACGACGGCAGAGACTGCCGCTTGCGCTTGCCGTAGGGTTCGGATCTGTGTAGGACCGGAGGCCACAATCAGCACATCATCAGCGTAAACAAATATATAAATGCGCCCAGGTAGCCGGTCAAATACCCCGTTCATTGCCACCAGAAACAACGTGACTGCGATAACGGAGCCTTGAGGGACTCCAGTCTCCTCGCTGAAACTTTTCGACCGCGTGTTCCCCACCAATACACGAAATGACCGGTCGGTCAAGAAGTTTCGTATGAAATACATCATATGCCCCTTCAAGCCCTAGTTTGTTAGTTTTTTCAGGACGGCTGGCGTCCACGTCCGGTTGAAAGCCTTGGAGATGTCCAAAGAGATGATTTCAACGTTGTGTTCCTGGTCATAAGCTTCCTTGAGCACGTCCCCCAGAGTGGCAAAGTACGTGGACGTACCGAAACCTTGTCGAAAGGCATGTTATTGGTGGTCGAGCAAGCTGTTGGTTTCAAGGAACATCTTGAGTCTACGGTTCACCATCCGTTCGAATACCTTGGCCATGCAGGATGTGAGAGCGATCGGTCGGAACTTAGATGTGCCTCTGTCTTTTTCGTTTGCCTTCGGGATGGGCACGACGAGACTCTCCTTCCATAGCGTCGGGTAGGTATCAGAGACCCAGAGTTGGTTGAGCATCTCAAGCTTGCAACACTTGCCCTCAAGGGGCAGCTTTTTTAAAAGTGGATACCCGAGATCGTCAGGTCCCGCAGATTTGCCGTTGCTGCGGCTTAGTGCGTGCTGGAGTTCCTCCCAGGAGAAAGGCTCGTTGATCTCGAGGTTGTCCGTGTCAGGCGGGATGCTGAACTCAGCGACTGATGTACGGGTAGGCTTTGCCAACCGCTGAAAGTGGCTATCGTACCCGGAGATGGCCGAAATTTCGGCGAAATACCCTCCGAGTTCTTCGGCGATGGCTGCCGGTTCGGAGATGGTAACTCCGTTAGCTTGTACATGTAATGGCGTCAAGTGCCGTTTACCGCTGAGAGCATTAACCCTGTTCCAGAGATCGGCAGAGGACTGGGAGGCGTTGATGCTTTCAAGGAAACCAGACCAACTGTTTAGCTTCGCACTTCTCACTTCTTTTCTGCATTGAATATGCAGTGCACGGTACCGGGTTAGTAGCTCTTCCCTGTTTGGGTCATCTCTCGGGGTTCGCCTGAGTTTCCGTAGAGCTTTCCGGCGGGCTTTAACGGCTTTTTTGGTGTTTTCGCTCCACCAAAGGAGGGCTTTTCGTCCAGGTAGGCTACTGGTCTTTGGTATGGTAGCGGATGCAGCATCTAACACCAACTTAGAAAAATCCAGGATGGTTAGCGGATTGCCTTCGAGGATCAGCGATAGAATTGTCCCCTGATACCCATCCTAGTCGGCCTCGTCGTACCGCCAGCGAGGCCTTTTCGTGACTTCTGAGGCCGTGGCTGACGAAAGCTGCATTTGGATGGGGTAATGATCACTTCCGTACAAATCCGCATTGGTGCACCACGTGACTTTTCCTGCTATGGAACGGCTGATCGAAGAGACGTCGATAGCCGTGGCGTGACGTCCGTTGAAGAATGTTGGGTTTCCATGGTTGAGCACCGCCATGGCTTCCTGATCGAGTAGGTCCATTAAGATGCTTCCTCTAGGATCCGGACGAGGACAGCCCCAAGTTGGATGATGCCCATTGAGGTCTCCGACAAACATCCTTGGTTCGGGTAGCTTGCTGAAAACGCCGGTGATTTTATTTGACAGATTTTGTAGCAATGTTCTCCCACATGGCAGGTATGCACAGGCAATCGCAATGTTTGACGGCTTCTCCAATTGAACAGCAACTATGGGAAGATCAGTTCCCAGGTCAATCTCGTTAAAAGATATGCTCCTTAGAACACCAATGGCTACGGAGTGGCGAGATCACACAATTGGTCAAAAATACGAGAAGATGCCCCAATGAGCCCGCCTTCTATCCACGAAACGTTATGAACAGAGAGTTGGCATTCCCACTCTCCCCGTCCAAATCACTTCAATCGGGTACCCTGATGGTCTCTCCTAGAGAGGGTCTAGTATAAGAGAGGAGTGGACTGGCTGGTTTGGAGCCAAACAAACTGTCAAAGTCAGAGCCAATCGAGCTGCTCCTATCTTAATTGCATTGGCAGTGTTGCTGGAAATCACCTAAGCATAGTTTGCTAGTTTATTTTCAATCCACTAGACCTATACTACTAGATCCTCTCTAGTCGCTTCCAAACTCAGTATTGTTTTGTGTTTATATATGAGCAATAATATAGGCGCCTCATAGCCTAGTCAGCAAAGGCACGGTATTACCAAGCCGGAGGCGGCGAGTTCGATTCCCGGTCCGGTCGAGGGAATCTTTTGGGTTGGAAATTTTCTCGACATCCCTGGGCATAGAGTATCATTGTGCATTGGTATTGGCATCGAAAGCTCTCAATTAATAACTGTGGAAGTGCATTAGAACACTAAGTTGAGAGCACGCAATAAGCTAATATGTACTAAGCAATAAGCTTAAAAATGCGAAAAAGAAGAAGATATGAGCATTAATAAAAATTTAAAATTTAAAACGATCCCACCAATTTTCACTATTTCTTCATCCTTCTGTCTGTTTTTCGTGCTTATTTGTGAACTCGTTGTCCAACCCTGCATCACTGCTAGTCGCAACTAGTCTCCCGAAAGTCTTGAGTTCCTAGTTGCGTCTTATAAAACCGTAACACCAATGCAGAAAAAGAACAGTGCCTCCAGATATTTTCTTAAATAGCAACACTCCACTGTCGTATCGCATGTGCTCCATTTTTCAGCACTTCTTTCACTTTTACTTTGTTGACTCCATGGTACTGGAAAAGATATAGATTTATACATTATAAGTAATGCTGTGATATAACCACAACGCCCAAGTAACAATTCAGTAATCATCCAGCATCCACTCTGATTTATGATGGTTTTATAACGGCAATGAACAATCCACTTAATTTAAATACTGCATTTTAAAGAGTAAAACATTCTTGCTTAGTGATTCGGCTTTTTGCTGTTTTAAAAACCGTTTTTAGTCTGGCAAGAAAGTCAAAAACTGTCTTGTTTTAAAAATAAATTTAAAACATTTCTCAATCCCTCCTTAAAACTGTTCTGTAATTCAAGCATAAACATCATTAGCAATTGTTTATCAATGTCTTGATATAATACTTTATAAACGTGTTCTATCATTATAAAAGCAACCATAAAACCATTAGGTTTTGCATTAGAGCATGAAGCATTAGACTGATGCAAAATTTGGAATTTTCGCTCCACAGTGTTCAACCGGTTTCAAATCGGGTCCTGATTAGCCTCCGAAAGTTTAAACTCATTTGATAAGAAACTGACATGGCACAAACCATTTGAAGTTTATATGGAAATTACTATGGGAAAACAAAACTCTTTGTTCTTTGTCTTCTAGCATTTTTACATATTGTACTGTTAACAAATTCTATTGCTATTCTTATGGGAATTTTTATCAGCTCCAACTTTGCAGGAAATCGTTTTTCAGTAAAACGTCAAATTAAATAGTTATTAATTGTTTAAGAGATTGATAATCTTATGGCAAGATTAAGCAACTGTATTCTGCAGTGTGACATAGTAGCCATGATTGTTGTGCTCTATTCTACGCGCCATAAACACCAATGTTGCCTACTGAACAGTTGATTGAGTATAAACATAAGACATGAGTGACTTGAATAATTAATAATTTGTGTTCCTTACATTTGATCGAAAAGTGGTCTTCAGCAAAGTTGTAGCTGAGCTCAGCTATTATTTTTAAAGTAGAGTGAACTGGTGAATTTTTAGATAGATATGAACCAAAATTATGGTTTCTCCATAGTAATTCCCATATAAACTTCAAATGGTTTGTGCGAAGTCAGTTTCTCATTTAATGAGTTCAAATGTTGAGAGGCTAGTCAGGGCCCAATTTGGAACCTTTTGAGCACAGTGGAGCGAAAATTTCAAATTATGCATCAGTCTAATGGAGCATTTATTGTTGGTTTTGAGGCTTTTTTAAGTGCATCATAAACTCCTCAATTACTCTGTTTATAAATTGAGCTTAAAAGATGTTTTCTCATAGTTAATAAAAGCCAAATTTATGACAAGTCGATTTCAGCAAAATTTACTTCTATAGAATAACCAGTACACCATTAATAACTGACGGAGAAGAGTATAGTGAGCGTGGCCTCGAATTCATAAAACATTGTCGAAAGTTTAAAAACATACCAGCCTTCTCCAGATCTTGCGAATAGATGACCGTCGAAGTAACAACCGTCAGCAAACCACTGAAACTGTTAGTTAGCGAAGACTAGCTGGTTTCCGATCCATAGCAGCGATTTTATTCGACGAAAGAATCAACTCTTCGAAAATTTCATTCAAGCGTACATCCCTGCACCGTTTGATGGTGCCCTTCTGTAACCATCCGGAAGAAGGGGATCTTTTTCGGGAACGATTGCGCTTCCTGCTGTTCAAAATGCGAGTATTGCAAATTATCTGAGTAACTGCTCCTAATCCATCGGGAGAAAACCGCCTGGAAGAACCCTTGATCCCACAGCGCAACTATCGAAAGATAAACAAACTTTGACGTTTTTACTTTTAGCAGGCAACTTTGCCTCCATAAATGCTGCCATAGATCTGAACGGGTTAGGATCAAGCAAAATGACTTAAGATAAATACAATTCAGCCTGAAAGTTTTCTTGATAAATGCCATTTTAAAACCTTATGCATTTGTTAAGGATTTCTTGAAAGCAAAACAATAAATGACCCATGAGCATCAACTTTTATGCCACCGCCATGTTACAATAGGTTTGCTTGTAACTTACTTGCTTCCAGCCAAGCTTGATCTGAATTTTTTTTATAATGTAAAATAATTACTCAAATCGAAGTTTTACGAGGGTGGACTTATTTGGTTTTTTCGATGATTTCATGTACATTTAACATAACATTTAATAAGGCACATAAGACTAGGCCACTTAAAGAGAACTATTGGAATAAATTTGGACCATCAGTTTCTATTTTAATTATTTTGATCAGATCGGATTCATAAATCCTTTTCTATCTTCATTGATGCTTTCCTAGTGAATTTAGCCAGCGGCTATGGGAAATGGCTCGAAAAGGGTTTTTATTGTTGCTAAATAGCTTTTATAGTAGCTTCCAAATGGTTCTAAATGCGTTCGTCATACAACTCTTTGCAGTAAATCAATCTTGAAGAGCTTCGAGAATACGCCCTTCAGAACCTTCTCCAGGGTGGGCTAACTAGACATATTCTAGTCTTAATGAGGTTTTGGTGGATGCATTAATTACAAAATAGCCTCGACCAAGGTTTTATGAATGCTGCTTTATAGTTGCTTTGTAATATTTCATTAAACATAAAATGTTATAGTTGAAGATGCTAATTTCAAATAACAGACTGAAGTGGTAATTTTTATACGATAGATGAGGAGGAGATGAAAGTATAGAATTGATAGTTCCGTTAGAGTACGGCAGTGTGAAAATTGCATATAGAGAGTAGACAGCGAGATAGGACAACTTTTAGGAAGGTACAAATCGGTTTTATCATCTCTCTTTACCAAACTCCCCCACCCGTGAACCCCTCGAGATCGTCAAGTCGACGATGACAGGAGCACATACCATGGTAGGGGTAACAATAGCTGCAATTTCCAAACCTACGACTGGATGCCTTCCTTCAAATAACAACTGGAGTGCGGTAAAAATCGGTAGAACTGTTTCAAACACATTGTTGGTACTTGAGCGGTCGGCGATCATGTCTTTTTGCCAGTGGTTTGGGGGGGACACCCCTACCATCCCTCTCCAAAGGGGGAGTTTGATAATGAGAGATGATAAAACCGATTTGTACCTTCCTAAAAGTTGTCCTAGCTCGCTGTCTACTCTCTATATGCAATTTTCACACTGCCGTACTCTAACGGAACTATCCATTCTATACTTTCATCTATCGTATAAAAATTACCACTTCAGTCTGTTATTTGAAACTAGCATCTTCAACTATGTAAATCGTTGACTTCCCGCAGAACTAAACATATAGTCAAAGTATAAAATGTTACTTGGGCGAGATGGCCGTTCAGAATGGTTCAACGGATGTGAAATAAGGGAATATTTAAATATATCACGATTTAAAGTACTTAAGTGCAACAGTCAATTAATTGACTAACAATTAACACATTTTTCAATATGTTATCTTAACAAATTTCTTGGTATTTGGATATTCTTGGTATCAAACATTTTGATACAGGCTAAAAAAAAAGTCTGGGTATGAAAACATAAGAACTGCTCTCAAAAATCCAAACCTTCAACAAGTTGACGCAAATGTCACCAAAACTTTACCATCCGTCTAGACAAAACTTTTTGGTAACTTAACGTAAAACAAATACTATCTGAGTTTCGGAAAATCAGAGTGGGATCAAGTGTGTCCAGTTCCCCCTATGAATGGAGCGGTTCTGAGCCGTTCACCTAAGTGATCCGTTTTATCTATCTCTGATCCATCCAGCTAACAGGCCGTTTTTTCTCTCTTATATATAATTTTTCATGTGCCATCGACATTGGTATCGTAGAATTGGAACAACTCTAACGGTGTCATTGGATGAGTAATCTGGTTTTCTGAGCTCAAGAACCTTATCTTTAAAGGCAAGTTTTTGTGATGCAAACATAGGTCTATGAAGCGTTTTACGAAGAACGCCATGTAATTTTCTGAACTTTAATTCCACACCTTACCATGCTTAACTCTGGTTATAATTCGAAACTTCTTGGGGTAGAGATCATGGAAGTCAGAAGCTCTTAAACCCATTCTTATGTTTTTAACTTGACGAGACATTTTTGAGAATCCCCTGTAATCAAGGAACTACGGTAGGAATATTATCGCACACTTTAAAGACTTACTTTCAACCAGAATTTTGGGTAGGAAAATATGTACACCAACTGCACAATACATGCCACAACAATGCAATCATGTAGCAAACACTCAGCATCGCTGGAATTTTTACCATCGCATGACTATGAATACCATTCTTAATAATTCATTTTACATCACTAAACCAAAACTCAGCACCACTCACACATTGATTGATACAATGCATTTATCAGGTACTCGACATTGTTAGCTTGTCAATATTGAATCCTGCTTACTGGTAAAAAATAACAGCTGAAAAAATGCTCTGAGGAATTCCATTGCGTCCATGGACCCTGCTGGGAATTACGATAGTGAATTCTTGAAATGCATTTCCGTGCCAGTGTGCAGCCCATTTCATCTATTTCAGTCAATGGTGAAGTGATGGGGCAGTATTTCCAGCCCCGTGTTCCACGGCAGTAGTGCGTGCGTTTGGAATTTATTGGAAGGCTTTGGTGAGGATTGTATTGTAACCATTTTGTTTTTGGTGCATGTACCTACCGGGAAAAAAAATCGAATTAATTCATTAAGCTGCAGAGCTCTTTGGAGTGGTTTGAACTGTCAAGTATCGTCCGACCATACAGGATATTGAATTTCCCACTGTGCAAGGACGATGACGACAACGACGGGGAAAAGCTCTTGTCGTGTAACCAAACAGACACAAAAAAGTCGGTCCTATGTTTCCGAAAGCGACCTAATATTTTATTCATCGTAACGAGAAATAATAAATATACCGAAAATTTACGGGAATGGGCGGAAAGCTCAGCAAAAACCGGCAATGGGAAAAGTCGTTGAAACACAGCCAGCGAATTGAGGGAGTGAGTTTCGACCAAAAATTTTAAAGCACATAATAATACCATCTGATAAGCTGTAATTCGCTTCGTTTGCGCCGTCGTTGGTGTTCTGCTGCCATCTGCTGAGTGCGCCGCGCGAGCCCAAGTTTATGATGATGTTTCGGAATTGCTCTTTGCTCTTTCTCTCGACTGCTCCTGGGGGTGACGAGGGTGACACATTCCTTCCACTGACTGCTGTCGGCTGCCATCGTGACACGTTCTCCTCCAGACTTAAATAAGAGGTCGCATCAGGTCCTTGCTGTTGTTGTTGAACTGACGATGGCACGAAACCAGACCAAAAACCAACCATTTACAACATGTAGAGCGTGGCGTGGTACTCTCTTGGTGTAGAGGTAGGTACCTATCTATCCGGGAGACGAGTGATGGGAATGTAAATATATTTATGAACGCTCTAATGATGGTTTTGATCTTCGACAAATAGATTCCTGTGTGCACCCACCAAACTTCCGCCCACCGCAATTTCCTCCGGAACGACCTATTAGGAAGCAAAGTTCAGTGGAACGCCGATACAAACTCACCGGCACACACACACACACACACATACAAACATACCTAAGCGGGTGAGATAAAAGACATGTGTTCTCACGAACATCAAAGGATAACTCGTCGACGTCGTCGTTAGTTTGCTTATCAATTATTCGTGAATTATATCTTATGAATTTTGCAGTGAATCATTAGCAAAGTGAGTGCCGGAATGAAAGAGTGAAACCGAAGCCAAAAAGCACCGCGCATCAAACCAAATGAATTTATAGATGTATTTTTTTTTGTCTGTTACCAAATATTTGAAAAGTAAGAGTTATTAGATATGAATAGTATTGTTATTATCAGTTTATGGATATTATTACTACTTAACAAAGTTTTATGTCAAGGTAAGTACACCTATTTCCATACAAATTAGTCAGTAAGCCCCCCAGCCAAAGCGAAAAAGAGAAATGCACTCACATTCATGCGGAAAAAAGGGCCCCCCAGGAGGTTTTGCATTTTTAAAACGAAAGTTCAAGTGGGAATTTTATGCAAGCAGTTTTGTCACTGTTTTCGCATGACTGCTCTTGATACCGACATTTGCGTGTTAATTCGCGCACAGCATGCTGCGATCCAGAGTCGAGATGATGATGATGATTTGGCATATGATGACGAACCGGTGGCGTTGATGTGGTGACTGGGATGTGGGACGTGTGTGCTTGTTGAGTATTTATTTATTTTCTCTTCTCGAGAGGCATATGTTATCACTTGGTGTGTTTCCTTTTGGGAAGGGGGAAGGTTAAAATACATACCCTTTGCAATGTTAACCTAGTGAGGTGAAAATAAATAATGAGATAAGGTAGGCAAAGGAATTCGGGGTGTAGTTATCGAAGACAATGTGGGTGAAAGTGGAAAGTTGATTCAGAGATTGGATCGTTTTCGGAAAATTATGGGGAATCGTAGTATAACTGTGTGTGGCGGTGCACTGTCGTGAGTTATTGTTTGTTCTTTTTATATTTTTTTTAATTTCTGGGTACATATACAGTTTAGAGTGAATCTAGGCAATTAAAAATAACTGTCTCGGCTTCTTCATTCATATCAGCAGCTTTCACAGGAAATTGAACAACAATGCACAGTAGGCCAGATGAGCAATCTATTTGACATCAATATTAGCCCTTATATTTGATGCTACTCATGGTTGTGGGACCAACTCAGTTCAATTCACTTACATATGGCCTTAGGATGTTAACGAGCAACCCAACTATCAATGTTAACTGCAGATTAGCGTATGCAGCCAAAACTTGACTTATATAGCTAAAACTCGGGTTATGCAGCTAGCTTTTGCCTGTATAAGTTAGTCTGCAGCTAAAATTGTTTGTTGGGAATTCAACAGAATCCCTTTCATATGTACTGTAAGGCACCAAAATCTGGGCACTCAGTATGTTTCTCCTTCTAGGTTTTGTAACGGGTGTCCACTAAAGACTGGAACGCGCAAAAATTGGTCGACAAAAAAAAAATAATATCACAAAAATCTTCTTATTTTTCTTTTGGTAGTTCCATTCATAAATTGAAAGGAAAAAATGTTCGTCTATTCTTTCGGTTTGCCAAATCCAAACTGCCGTGCCTTCCACTTAACCCATTCTTTTAAATTTTGCACAGTGGTCTCATCGACCTTATTCGCCGCCGAACGCCAGTTAGATTAAAACTGCTGCTCGTTTTCTCCATGGATTCATTAGTTTTTTTTTTAGATTCCGTTTGACCAAGGTCCAATACCGTTCGATAGGGTGAGATGTTTGGAGGGTTGTGGTCTTTGGGTAGCACAACCACGTTGTTCGCATCGTACCACTCGATTGCCTTAATCCCATAGTGGCAGCTCACCAAGTCCGGCCAGAACAGCACAGATCTATTATGTTGTTTAAGGAATGGTAGCAGCCGCTTTTACAGGCACTCCTGGACGTAGATCTCTTGATTTATGGTTCTCGTAGTAATGAAAATGCCGCTTTTTAGACCACACGTGCATATGGCCTGCCAGACGAGATATTTTTTTGGGAACTTCGATAGTTTAATGGTTTTGAAAATTTCTTGCACCTTTTCCTCATGCGGTATAAAACTCCTGTCCCGGGAGCTGCTTGAAATCCGCCTTCACATAAGTTTCGTCGTCCATGACGACACAGTCGAACTTTGTGAGCATATTCGTATACAGCTTTCGGGACCGCTGCTTTGCCGACGTGTTTTGTTTGTAATCCCGGTTCACCACCTTCATCTTCTTAAACGTCGACAACCCGGCTCGTTTCTTGGCCCACTGCACAGTAGTATGGGAGACATTGAGCTTGCCAGCGACGTCCGGATTACGATTTCCACCGCCTCCAGGCTTCCTGGCGGTCGACAGACGCTCCCAGAATACTTTTGAAACGTTTGTCACGGTCGATTTGGCCACATCCAGCAATTTTGCCAACTTGGCGTGTGAGAACGTCGGATTAGCTTGCTACGCGAGCAAAATTTTGACACGCTGCTTCTCTTGCTTGGACGTCATTTTGAAAACTGGAGTGAAAACTCATCATAGCAACCATTGTATGCATTTTTAACAGAAATACACCGATTTGAAGTTGACCAATTTTTGCGCGTTCCAGACTTTAAAAAATGAAAGTGGAAATAATGGGTTGGGAAAACACAACATCTGCGGTGCAGACTAGTCACACACTTAGAAAATAATGCCAAACTCAGTTTAATTATCTACCGAACCTCTTCGGTTACTACCGAGAAACCGAATAAATTGTTTAAAAACATTTTTTCATGCGTATTTATCGAATCAGACCCGAATTTCGGTAAAATAGCAGCAAACCAACCGACAGAAATGAAGACTGAACCGAAAAGTACGGTAAAGTATCGACATTTACGAATTCGGTACGTGAAAACCAAGAAACTCGGTAAACTGAACCGAATATTCGCTAGAACGTGTTAAACGTCAAACGCGCTCAACTTCACGACGGGAATTTTAACCGAAAACTCGGTTCTCTAAGCTGAGTCTAAAACTAGTCAGCCATTTTTTCTCACATGTGCTCGTTGGACGTGTGCAAAACTTAAGTAAAAATGGAAAAAAGTTCTGGAGCAGCTGCAACAGGACGATGCACGTTTGATTGAAATCTTTTGTAAGTATTTGAAACTTAAGGTATGATTTTATTTACAGGCATCCTGTGCTATAGTTTCTTTCTACTGCCTTGAAAATGTACAAGGTTATGTCTCTGGCTTGCAAAGGCATTTTAGAAACCATTTGAATAAGAATGATTTCAAAATGAGTGATACTTTTTGACTGTAATTTTCCACACTGTAACTCGAGTTACGGAAGCTTTTATTCGCTGAAACGGCATATAGTGGAAAAGCATCCGACAAACTCTTGAAGTTCTACCATGGAAGAAATGTTTGATGATTGTCCTGTGGCAGAACAAGGAACCTATGCTGATTTACAGAACAGTCCTAAACTCGAATCAAGTATAGATTTGGAAGAGTTAATAAAAATAATAAATATTAGCATCTGGTTGCAAATGCTCATTTCAGCTAAAATAACGTTTTTTCGGAATAATAAAACCAAAACATGGTATCATGGCATGTTTTACTTGTAACTTACAAGAAGCGGTTACAAAGTATGCGTTTGAAACATAAAACCTGTAAATTTTGCTTTCTATCAGTCACAATCAGCGATTTTCTGATCGCTGAGTGAGTGAGTGAGTGAGTGTGTGAAAAATTGCTGATTGTGACTCTCATCAAGTGAAATAAACAGGTTTAGTATCTCAAACACATTTTTTGCAACCTCTTCTTGTATCCTACCAATTCAAAATATGATCGTGGCATCTAATTATTTCATAATTAAAAAAATATTGTTTTAGCTGAAATGAGTTTTTGCAACCTTTACCTTACACAAAAATCAATGATTTTATTGAGCTTTGTGACGACATAATATGGCACGTATCAGGGTACCTTGAGGCAGAAACTGTGAATTTTTTCTCATTTATTAGAAAAAAAACTGGTTTTATTTTTATAAAAATTTGAAGCAACGAATCCTTAATCAAAATTTAAAGCAAGATTTGAAGTGAAACCCGAGCACTGCCCAAGAGAACCGAACTCCATAATTACAACAAGTGGGTCGGTTTGTTTGACAGCGTTCGGTAATTCTTGAGTAAACCGATGTTCGGTTATTTCTGCTTAAATTTATTTTTCGTCAACCGAGATTTTCGGTAACTTTGACAGATTGTGAATAACAAAAAGAACTAACGACAGCTCGTATATTCCTCTTTGAACCGAGCGTTCGGCAGATAAAAACTCGATTGACATCAAACCGAGTTTGGTAATATTATCTAAGTGTGAATGATATTGGACCATGACCGTTGGACGGCTGCCACATCGATTTTCCGGATGAAGCTTTTGATTATGTTGGTAAGTTGCTTAGTGTCCTTGGCCTTCCAATTATCCTTGTATACCATGGAAATCAATAGTCTGAAAAAAATCTCGATTGGACGGCACTGCGGCAGATTTGACGGATTCCGGTCTTTTGGCACATATGATACATTTAGGCTTTCCGCCGTACTTCCGGGACACCCAGTGGTAAAAAAGATCTCACGGTTTGGATTTACTATCCCTTCTTTCCTAGAGTCTTGCAGATATTTGACTTCAAACAACGGACCTTTTTGGCCGCTTCCCGTTGACTTACTGAAACCATGTTGTTGTACATGGTCTGCAGCGAGCGGAGCGTTTTTTGTTTTAATTATCTTCGTTAAACGGTCATTACCTCTCTTCCGGGCTACTGCCACGGATGCCAGGATACGGTATACGGTGGATACCGGAACATTTTCCCTCTTAAAATGGTCTACCGTGTATGTACTTTTTTCCACGATCTTCGTTTGCTTGAAAGAATTGTACAATGCTGAACACAATTGAACATGTTATAGACGCTTTTCGCGCCAAATCGAAGTGAAGCTGGCAAAACCCTCTCAGATTCCAATGAAATTTTCAGGATGTGCAGACTTTGACTAAATAAGCACTTTTGCATACTCAGTTTTTCCAAAATATATCTAGACTAACATTTTTGAAAGGCCAAACTTTTTCTGTCGATTTTTTCCAAAAAAATATTATGGAAAAATAACAACTCCTACAAAAATGTGGATGATTTTAGGAAATTGCTTAATTTTCTTAAAAAAAGAATGAAAAAAAAATTAGTTGAGACCTACACTGAAAAAAATCGATTTTTAAAATTTAAAGTCGATTAAAAAAATTCCAAGTATGATTTGGATGAAAATTTGCCTCAATAAAGGTTATTATGTTTTCTACCATCCACGATGTATTGACGATAGGTAGTAAACATTATTACCTATCTTGAGACAAAGTTTCATCCAAATCATACTTGGAATTTTTT